GAGGGAGATAGAGAGAGAGAGAGAGAGAGGGAGAGAGAGAGAGAAGAGAGGAGAGAAATCAGAAAAAAAAAAAACGAAAGAGAGAGAGAGAGAGAGAGAGAGAGAGAGAGAGAGAGAGAGAGAGCGAGAGAGAGAGAGAGAGAGAGGGAGAGATAGAGAGAGAGAGGGAAAAAAAAAGGAAAACGACAGAGAGAGAGAGGGAGAGAGAGAGAGAGAGAGAGAGAGAGGGGGAAATGAGAGAGAGAGAGAGAGAGAGAGAGAGACATAGAGAACGGGTGGAGACTATCTCGTTGTTTTTTCCCCTCTCTCTTTCTCTCTCTCTCTCTCTCTCTCTCACTCATTGTTGTTGTTATTTCTTCCTTTCTTCCTGTAGTTATTTATTTTTCTCTCTCTCTCTCTCTCTCTCTCTTTGTTTTGTTATCTCTCTCTATATATATGTATTTATGGTGTTTGTCTTTATTTTTGTATATGTATTTCTTTCTTTCTTTCTCTCTCTCTCCCTCTCAATGCTTGTTCTCTCTCTATATATATAGTTGTCTCTTTCTCTTTCTCTTTCGTTATATGCATGCATATATACATACATGTTTATATATATGTATATATATATATATATATTCTCTCTCTCGCTCCCTTTCTCTCTTCCCTTCTCTTTTCCGCTGCGTCTGTCTCGGGGCGAATTCAGGGGGGCGCGACAGAGGCAGGCGGGCCGCGGGCCGCCCATGCTCGGCGCGCTCCATCGCGTCGACGGGCGGGCGGCGGCCCCCCCTTCCCTTCTTCCCCCATGCCCCTTCTTGCCCCCATTCCTCTTTCTTTTTCGCGCGTCGTCCAATTCATTCCGCCGCCCCGCTGCTCGACCCCGCTGTTCTCTAGGGGCTCCAGAGCGCAAGGCTGAGCGACGTCGGGGGCCGCGTCCGCCGGGGCGCGCCGGAGAGGGATTCGCGCGGCAATTGTTGCGAGCGAAAGATTTCGCATGGGACATCCTCGCCGCGCGGAATGCCATCGGTTGATGCGTCTGGCGTTTTTCAATGCTCTCGCGCGAGACACCCTCGCGCCATTGGGATGTCGACCTCGTCGACAACGCCGCGTTTCTCACGACAGCGACGCGGGCTGTCGCATTGTCGCACCGGCGGCATCAGAACAGCACGTGAAGGGCGATGAAGGAGAGCAGGGGGAATATGAGGACACGCGTCACGCGATGGGACGCAGGGCGGCAATGTTACACGCTCTGATCTGATTCAGGCGCGGCTCCGCTGTCACCGCAGAAACCGCGCTCCCATTGAAACTCGAAGGCAAATTGCGTTTCGTTGAATGTCCGTCAAACGACAGGTTGCCGTCGTCGCCCCACTCCCCGCCCCCCTTCCTAGAGGCGGACGCGCCAGGCAAAAACGTGAAAACGGTTTGTTTGGTGTTTTGCTTCTCGCCCGCCCACCGCAAAGTCATTGTCGTCGTCCTTCCCCCGCTCCTTTTTTTTTGCACCCCTCTTCCCCCCCCCCCAATCTCCCGGGCGCTTTCGTTCTCTGGCCGCGGGCGCGCAAGGCGGAAAACATGAAAACGGCATGGCGTTTTGCTGTTCATCGGGCCACCGCAAATATACGTATAGTCGCCATCGTCGCCGTCATTCCCTACCCCCCCCCCTTCGCCCCGTCCTCCAACTTGAAAAACAGCGTAGAGCAGCGAGAAAACAACGTGCTGCGATGCGCTGCGTTCCTGCTGGGGGGGGGGGGGGGGGGTCGCCGCACGCGGCCGCGCTGTTTCGTCGCAGTTATGTTTTTGCGTTGCGCGAGGGGCTCGGTTATATGTTTGCGGGCAGGTCCAGGCGAACTTACATGCGAGTTCACGCGTGATGCGCGGTGCAACTTCCACCGCGGACGAGTGTGCGCAGGTTCTTTTGCCGCGCGTTTTAAGAAGGGTTGCTGCTCGAACCCTGTAAATGAGGGAAGCAGCGGCAAATTCAACATCAAACGCATTGAAGCAGGCGCGAGCAATGGTTTCGCCAACCTGAGATTGTTTGAGAATGCGACATCTGGGAGCACGTGTAACTTTGCATCCACATGTTCGCTGTTGTCGAAGACTGCGCGGCCGCCCCCGTTTGAAAATCATGGTGACGTCTCGGCGAGTTGTGTCTTATTCCCCCATAGATTTCAGTGGTCGTCGTCGTCGCGTCGTCGTCGTCGTCGCGATCGTGGTCTTGGTCGTCGGGTTGTTGGTCGTCGTCGTCCTCCTCCTCCTCCTCCCCCTCCCCCCCCCCCCTCCTCCCCCCGTGTTTCTTCCTCCCTGTCCTCTATTCTCCCTTATGCTGCTGGTGTTTCTCCGATATCTTAGTCCTTCTCCTCTTCCCTTCTCTCCCCCGTCTTCCTTCCCCACCCACCCCCCCCTCCCTCCTCGCCCCCCAGCGCCCGCGCCCCTTGGACCTCTCGCGAACGCGAGCTCTAAGGTTCTCCGCCCCCGAAGCGCTGAAGCGGAAATGCCGGCGGCGCGGGAAGCGCAGAGCGCGTCGCTCAATCGCGGCGACAGCAGTCTAATAAATGCCGGGGTGCTGGGCCCAAGCGGACGCATGTGTTCACCTGCATTGGCTTCCAAATGCCGGGGCGCTAGACGCAGGCGGGCGCGTTTGGTAGCCAGCCCAACAACGGCGCTTCAACGCCCAGAGAGCGCGAGGACCCTGGCGCCGCGCGGTCGACGCGGCGGTCGCGCGGGAAGCACCAACCATAATGAATGGTTTCTATTCTACGAATCCATTCGTTCCGTCGATGTCCTCAAGCACTGTCACGTTCAGTCATGATGTACTGGGGCAATTCAACTCATATGCGTTCGCAGATAATTGCGTTAGATTTGGAACTTGTTCAAATTGTGATACATGCGTGTCAATTCATATAACGGCGCACTGGGCCCGGGCGCCCGGGGCCGGCGCCGCCGCCGCAAGCGCGGGCCCCGGGGCCCTCGGGGGGCCCCGGGGCCTCGCAGAAGACCGCCAGAAGGCACCGAGGAGGCCCCAAGAGGCTCCAGAACAGACCCGGGACGCCCGAAGGTCGCTTCCAGACGCCCAACGCGGCCTCTGAGGCGGCTTCGCAAGCCCCCAGGACACCCCAAGCGACCCCCAATAGGGCCCCAACAAAAGCTCCAAGGGGCCAACGTAGCCCCGTTCCCTTCGCAAAACGCATGTCTTTACATGTCGCTTGTTTTCGTTGTCGGCCCGGCCGAGGGCGCGCCCCAGAGGGCCCCAATGCAGCCCCAGAAAGCTCCGGGACGGCCCACGGAGAGCCCAAGACGGCCGCAAATGTGGGCCCCAGGGCCTTCGGGGAGCCCCGGGGCTTCGCAAAAGACCGCCAGAAGGCACCAAGGAGGCCCCAAGATGCTCCAGAACAGACCCGGGACGCCCGAAGGTCGCTCCCAGACGCCCCATATGGCCTCCGAAGCGGCTTCAGAAGCCACCAAGACACCCCAAGCGACCCCCAATAGGGCCTCAAAGAGAGCCCCAAGGGGCCAAAATATACCCGTTCCTTTTGTAAAGCGCATACGTTTAACATATTGCTTGTTTTCGCTGTCGGTCTGGCCGAGGACACGCCCCAGAGGGCCCCAATGCAGCCCCAGAGAGCTCCAGGGCGGCCCACGAAGGGCCCAAGACGGCCCAAGAGAGTCTCCAAGACGGGCCCGAGAGGGCCCCACAGGAGGAAAGCCACCATCGAATTCCAAGCTTTCGACCCCAAGTAACTCCAGGAGGCGCCGAGAAGCCCCCAAGAAGCGCCCGGAAGGCTCCCAGAAGCACCCCGAGACGCTCCACGAGGCCCCCCAAGAGAGCTCCAAGAAGCAACAATCGCCCCATTCCCATGGGGACACGTATGTGTTTCGCATGCTCGCCTGTTGGGCTGTCATATATATATATATATATATATATATATATATAATATATATATATATATGTACACCTATGCGACCACCCTGCGGGCGATAAGGAGGTTGCGGGGGGGTGGGGGGAGGGGGTGGCCCCATGACTACAACTGTGATGAACGCGGTGCTGATGGGCAATGATGGCGTGGATGACGCGGCGGAAGCGCGGTGGCCGTGCGAAAGACGCTCGTCCCGAACACATCTGCAACGAGGCGCCGGACCTCCGCCCACGCGCGAGAGCCTGCGGCGCCGGCGGGACCTGGGCCCTCGCCATCGCAATCCCCGTCCGAGATGACTTCCTGCAGTCGGTTCCCGATCGCATGCCCGAAGTCACCGGCGACAGCTTCAGTCCGGCCGTGCTCCATCCACCTGACGAAATATGTCGGAGTGACCGGAGGGACATGGGAGGCGTCGCTGTCGGCCTCGCGCGTCGCGCCCACCTCCACGTCGTCGCCGGCCCACGCCTCGGCGGCGTCGCCCCGCCACTCAACTTCCGCATAATATGGGTCGTTCGCCTTCAACCATAAAAAGGCAGCCTTGAGTTTGGAGATGTCGACTTTGAATAAGGCCCGGCCCGCCGACTTTCCCGCGGCGCTGGCAGAGCCTAGCGCACGGGGGCGAACGTGCACCACAGGCATGTCCGCAGGCGTGACCGGCAGACTCTTGAGGAACTCGCTAACCTCTTTGGCGAAAGTTGCAGATGTGGCCGACGTGCGCCAACTGACCCGTGCGAGGGATGGTGTACACTTGCACGAGCGGATGCACCAATGCCAATGCCATTTCTTCGTGGTCCGAAAGCGCGGCCGCCGGGTGCGCGAACTCGCCCGCGCTGAAACCGAGCACTCAGGAGAACGCCTCCTCGCTTGCAGGGCCTGGCGGGGGAACGCCATCGAAGCGCTCGCGCGCGATCGCGGGCCCATCGCCCCTCGGGGTGCACCAAACCGGGCCCGCCACGAAGTCGCACATGCGCATCTCGCCGGCGGGGGGCGGGAGAACATGATCTTCGCCGACGTGCATGTGACATCCACCGCAAATCGCGATGATCCTCTTTCTCTCTGGGTCGTGCAGTCTGCGGGCGATACTCTCGCACTCCTCGAAGGGTAGTTTGCCGCCAGGTAGCACTGCGTTGCCCACTGCGCGTCTTCCAGGCACCCGCGCATTTGCGAGGTCGGCCTCCGCTGGTGTTCCTGGTCCAGCCCCGCGTAACACGGCGGTAAGTGACTGGGGCCGTCCTGCTGGCAGAGCCTGGCAGACTCTTCCGCCGTCTGCTTCCAGCTGCCCTCCCTGCCGAGGACACCAGCACGCTCTGCCCCGGCGCTCTTCGGCATCGCCGGCCTCCGATTCGCGCGAGGCGCCTCCCTGCAGGATTTCAACACTCGATGCTTGCGCTTTGCTCTCTCTGCGAAGTCCTCTTGATATCGTTTCTTGCCCCGCTTGGCAGCCGCCAGCTTCTTACGGGATGCGCGCTGAGGGCGCTTGTCGCGGATCTTGTCGCGGGTGCGATCCTTGCGGAGCGCGCGCTGAGCGCGCCGCTTCCCAACTTTCATCTGGCGCGCTGTCTGCGCAGACAACCAGGCTGGTTTACGCAGCCACAACGGTTTGCGAACGGCCCTCGGTCGTTCGCGCGGCTTCGCTGGGTTTGGATCCACTGCGGATGCGCTATCAGAGACTGGCGCGTCGCCTGCTTCTCGGCCCGGGGCGCCTGGGGCCACGGCAGGCTGGAAAAAGGAAGCTATCCCAACCTGCCCTTTGAGGGCGCGACAACAGGCCGAGCGGAGAAGCCTCGTGGACTGTTGGGCGCCCCTAGCTGCGACCCCCAACGAGGCCGCCAGCGCGCGCAACTCTTTCTTGTTCATGTTCTGCACGCCGGTCGAGGTGACATGGGCCGCCCCCGCAACCGGGTTCTGTGTCGCGGTGGCGGAGGCGGGCGATTTGACCTGCGCCTGGCTCGAGCTGGCAGTGCGAGACCCCGACGCGGGCTCACGTGAAGCTGCTGGCGCCGCCAGGTCGGAGCTGGCAGCGTCTGGCTCGCCCGCGCCTGCCCGGAGTGCTGTCGCTGCGGGGCGTGCGGAGGGCGCGACAGCACGCCGCCCGGAGCGCCTCCGAGCTCTTTGCGTTCTCCCGAGTTTCGACCCCCAGCGAGGTCGCCAGTGCACGCAACTCATTCCGGTTCATGTTCCGCACGTCGCTGGAGGTGACATCGGCCGCCCCCGCGACCGGTTTCCGCGCAACCGTGGCGGGGGCGGACGGCGCTACCCGCGCCTGGCCCGCCCGCGCGCGCACCTGGCGCCCCCGCCGACGCGGGCCCGCGCGAAACGGACGGCGCGGCCAGGCCGGAGCTGGCAGCGCCTGGCTCGCCCACGCGCGCTGGGGCCTGCACCGACGCGGGCCCGCGCGAAGCTGGCGGCGCCGCCGGGTCGGAGCTGGCAGCGCCTGGCTCGCCCGCGCGCGCCGGGGGAGGCTGCCGCTGAGCGGCCTCCCGCAGCTTGCAATCCTCGCGCGCGTCTTTGACTGCGCGCCGCTGCGTCGGCGCCGCCGGCCCCCTGGCGGGGGCTCCAAGACTGGCGGCGTGCTTCGTGAGCCCCGCCGTCTTCATGTCATCCACGCGGCCCCCCATCTCGCGGATAGCCCGGCCGCAGGAATGCGCGAGGAGGGCGCCCTGGGGGGCTGGCGCGACCGCAGCGGGCGCCTTGAGCCGGATGAGGAGGACTGCGAGGGCCAGGAGAAGGAGGAGGAGGAGGCGGAGGAGGAGGGGGCGAAGGAGGAGGAGGAGGAGGACGAGGCGGATGAAGATGAAGACGGCCATGATGATGATGGCGATGGCGGCGAGGGCGATGAGGAGACGCTGATGCATGCAAATTCACACAAGCAGGGGAACTGGAAGGACGGCGTGGCCAATAAATGACGGCATTCATGTGTCCTCTGACGACTAAGTGGTCCGAGAACGGCACCCCCCAGCCCACGGTGCCAAATGCAAGCGGCCGCCATCCTCTGAGGGGGGGGGGGGGGGGCGGAGGGGGGCGATGAATGGCAATCGAGCCTTCGTCTTAGCAAAAAGGCGACGAGCTGGCCGACTTGCGTCGCGTGGCCTGATCCCTTGAGCCGAATTAGAGATATAAGTAATTAGTTTTTTTTTTTTTTGAAAAAAAGGAACGATGCGAGGAAGCGAAGCAAGAGAAGGTGTCCCATGATGAGCAGTCATGATGGTGTCCCATGATGAGCAACCATGATGAGCAACCATGATGAGCAACCGGCGGGACAATGATGAGCAACCATGATGCGCGACCGTGATGGGCAACCATGATGGGCAACCGGCGGGATAATGATGAGCAACCATGATGAGCAACCAGCGGGACAATGATGAGCAACCATGAAGAGCAACCATGATGAGCAACCATGATGGGCAACCGGCGGGACAATGATGAGCGACCATGATGAGCAACTGGCGGGACAATGATGACCAACCATGATGAGCAACCATGATGAGCAACCGCGATGAGCAACCGGCGGGACAATGATGAGCAACCATGATGAGCAACCGGCGGGACAATGATAAGCAACCATGATGAGCAACCACGATGAGCAACCATGATGAGCAACCGGCGGGCAACCGACGGGACAACGTGGGCTGCCGCTTGACAAGGCCGGGGGGGGGGAACATTTGCATTGGCGAACCCTTCGCGACAGCAGAGTGAATTCCTTTCGCTGGCCCACGCAGCTTCGCCTCGCCCGCGCGCGCGGCACGAGCGCGAACTTGAAACTCGATTTCCCGGCTGGGGGGCTCCGTTGCACTACGATCTCACCCCCCAACCTCCGATATATACGTATATATACAAGATTTGAAGCTCGCTGCGCTTCGCTTGGAGGTCTTGGCACGATGCGCTGGCGCGCAGCGTGCGAGTGAAGCGCGACTATGCGGGCTGAAGCGCCGGCCATGGGCAGGGGCGGGGGTGGGAAGGTCACGGGCACATGGGCGTCGGCCCATGGAGTGCGTGCGCGCCGCGCGCGCGCGCCGAGTTGGCAAGGGGCGACGCACGCGACGGTCGTCGTCGATAAGATTAGGCGGGGATGCAACGCCGAGGGCAGGGGAAGGAAGAGGTGTGTTAAATGCGGGGCATTCGGGACAACTGCAGGATTCGGGGGCCCTATTGGGGAAGACGGAGGGGTCGGAATCCTTCTTGGCGGGTGTGACACAGGGGGTTGGGAAGGTCAGGGGCAGCGCCCGTGGACAGGGCGTTTAACATGGCGGTGGCCATGATGATGATGACGTGGTTGTGGCGACGACGGAAGTGGCATGCGCAGGGGGCGGGGGGGCAGGGGCTCGCCAGCCTGGTTCGAAGGAGCGGCCCGAAACCGCCCCCCCCCCCCCCCCCCCCCCCCCCCCCCTCAGCCCGACGTGGCCTTTCTCTCTGCAAATCTACACACGACAGACCTCGTGCCAGCGAAGCGGTCTGGACGGCTGCTTGCCCGCGCGCTTCCTTCCCTGTCCGTCTGCGCGCGCGGCCGCTGTTTCATCGGCCTGCGCGCGCGTGGCTTGCATTGTCGTGCCCTCCTATCTTGCTGCAAAGAGAAAATATTTACACTGCCCCATGCCTGCAGTCCGCGGAGCACCTGGTCGGGCCCAGGTGTTTCGAAGCACATCAACGATTTGGGTCTCGTGGGGCCCTCTTCGGAGGCCTGTCGGAGGCCTCTTGGGCGGTATTGGGGGCCTTTTGGGCCGTCGTCAAGTCATCATCAGCATCTTGGGCAGATTATTCGGCGATTTCGGGCCCTTTGGACCGTCTTGGGAAGCCCAACTGGCGGGCCAGAGAACACCCAAGGGGCACCTGGGGCCTCCGGGGACTGGCCAGAGAGAGCCCCACGGGCCCCTGGGGCCGCCAGATTCTATTGGGGGGGGGGGCCGCCCATCCCCGGTGCTCTCCTGATGTGAGATAATAAAAATAGGAATATATAATATATATACATATATACATATATATATATATATATATATATTATATATATATATATATATATATATATATATATCCCGGGAGAGCAGGCCCGGGGCCCGAAAACAGCTGCCTCGACCCTCCATGGGGGGGCCGGGGTTTATTTTCTTTTTGTTTTTACCAGGTTTCCGCGTCCTGGGCCTCGGAGGCCGCCGCCTCCGACCCCCCATGGGAGGACGGGGCGGCTGTGGAGGTCCAAAATAGTCCAGGAGAGCCTCCAGATGCTCCCAAGACGGCCCAAGCGGGCCCCGAGTCGCCGAAAGACCGCTCCAGGACGCCCAATATACGCCCAAGACGGCCCGAGAGGCCCCCCAAGGCACTCCACGACGCTTCAATACGCTTCTCCAGAGCGCTTCAAGAGGCCGAAATCGTCAATGTTACAAAGGTTTTCGAACGATTTTGGCCTTCCAGCCTTTTCGGCTGTCCGACGTTCCAAGACGGCTCAATAGGCCCCCAAGAGCGCCCCAAGACGGCCCAAGTGGGCCCCAAGATGGCCCCAGAGTCGCCCAAGACAGCCCAACAGAGCCCCAAGACGGCCCCAAGATGCGCCCAAGAGGGGGACCACGACTCCAAAATTCGACCCTCCCGCTGGAAGAGTGCCCCAGGAGGCCCCAAGGAACCCCCAAGAGGCCCCAGGAGGCCCCCAAGAGGCACCCAGGAGGCCCAAACGAGGCTTGAAGAGGCCACAGAACAGCCCCGAGGAGGCCCCACAAGGGTTTCAAAACGGCTACCGAGAAGCTGCGAAACTGCCTTCACGACGTCCCCGACAGGCCAGCCACGAGATCCAAACCAACACCCATGAGGCCTCTGACCCACCACCCAGGGCACGTTGGCGGGAGCAGTGACAGCACTTGTGCACAGCATGTTCCGGCGGGAACCTTCCGGCAGGAGGAGGAGGAAGATCAGGAGTAGAGAGAGCTGGAGTGGGAGGAGGAGTAGGAGGGGGACGAGGAGGAGGAAGAGGCCTCCAAGACAGCTCCAAGATAACCGAAGAGGTTTCCAAGAGGGCCCTGGGCGGCCCACGAGGGCCCCAAGGCGGTGCCTGAGGCGCCCACGACGGCCCGAGAGGGCCCCAAGACGGCCCTAAGAGAGGCCCAAGAAGGGAAACACGAACCGAGAATCCGAGCTTCCTACCCCGAGAGGTTTTCGGGAAGTCCCAAGAGGCCCCCAATCGGATCCAAGAGGTCCCCAAGAAGCTCCCAAGAGGGCCGACGAGGTTCCAAGAGATCTCCCAACGTGGCTCCAAGAGGCACAACTCATTGTCTTACGATTGGGCTTTGACGGGTTTTAATGTTTCGGCCTTTTGGCATCCCGATGCTCCCAGACGGCCCAAGAGGCTTCCAACACCGCTCCAGTATCGAGGAAGAGGCCTCCGAGAGGGCCCCAAGACGGCCCGCGATGGCCACAAGACGGTGCTTGAGGCGCCCAAGACGGCCCGAGAGGGCCCCAAGAGCCCCAAGAGAGGCCCAAGAAGGGGAACGCGACCCAACAGCAGAGCGGTCCCCCCACAAGGC